GTCTGCTTTAATCCGCAAACTTCTGCTTTTATCCGCAAACATCTGCATTTATCCGCGAACGCCTCCTTTAATCCGCAAACATCTGATTCTATCTGAAAACATCTGCTTTTATCCGCAAACATCTGTTTTAATCTCCAAACATCTGCTTTTATCCGCAAACATCTATTTTAATCTGCAAACATCTGCTTTTATCCGCAAACATCTGATTTTATCCGCAAACATCTGATTTTACCCGCAAACATCTTCTTTTATCGGCAAACATCTACTTTTATCCGCAAACATCTGATTTTAATCGCAAACATCTGCTTTTATCCGCAAACATCTGCTTTTATCCGCAAACATCTGATTTTAATCGCAAACATCTGATTTTATCCGCAAACATCTGCATTTATCCGCAAATATCTGCTTTTATCCGCGAACATCTGCAATCATCCGCGAACATCTGCTTTCATCCGCGAACATCTGATTTTATCCGCCAACATCTGCTTTTATCCGCGAACATCTGCAAACATCTGCTTTTAATTGCAAACCTCTGCTTTTATCCTCGTTCGGTTTGCCTGCATTTCCTTTGTCCATTTCGGTCCTGTTAACGAAATTTCGTACGCAAACGTCTGGTTTCATTCGCGCTTTTTGTTTTTCTTTTTCTCGTGTATACTTTAGTTTAGTTTACCTGCTTTGTCAAATTTTACTGAGCTTTAACTAACTGGTTGTTAGCCGTTCACGGCACACAACTTTATAACTCTAAAAGGAATTATTTGAATAAAAACAACCTGTAAAGGAAATATATAAGTTTATTGAACTTCAATATTATTTGGTAAAATACAAATAAGGTCTTTGTCAAAAGACCTAAATAGACATTTTTTAATCATTAAGCTTACATTTAAATTAATTGTTAGAAAACATACCTATATGTTTAATTTCAAATACATTTGGAATTATAACATCTTCAATTTATATAGAATCTTATTTCGGCGTAGAATTTTTCATCTTACTTTATAAACTTTTTAATTTTGGCATAACCAATATTTTTAATATATATGTAAGAATTATTAGACTTATTATTTCAGTGCACATGTGGTAATCTTCACTATAGTATACCAGATTTTTAAATTTAAATCTGGTGAATATAATTAAATTATTTTCTCATTGGAAAAATGTCGTGTTGAATAAACTTATTACAGGTTGTTTTTATTCAAATAATTACCTTTAAAGTTATAAAGTTGTGTGCCGTGAACGGCTAACAACCAGTTAGTTAAAGCTCAGTAAAATTTGACAAAGCAGGTAAACTAAACTAAAGTATACATGAGAAAAAAGAAAACAAAAAGCGCGAATGAAACCAGATGTTTGCGTACGAAACAGGACCGAAACGGACAAAGGAAATGCAGGCAAACCGAATCCGGATGAAAGCAGAGGTTTGCAATTAAAGCAGATGTTTGCAGATGTTCGCGGATAAAAGCAGATATTTGCGGATAAATGCAGATGTTTGCGGATAAAATCAGATGTTTGCGATTAAAATCAGATATTTGCGGATAAAATCAAATGTTTGCGGATAAAACCAGATGTTTGCGGATAAAATCAGATGTTTGTGGATAAAAGCAGATGTTTGCCGATAAAAGCAGATGTTTGCGGATAAAATCAGATGTTTGCGGATAAAAGCATATGTTAGCGGATCAAATCAGATGTTTGCGGATAAAAGCAGATGTTTGCAGATTAAAATAGATGTTTGCGGATAGAATCAGATGTTTGCGGATTAAAGGAGGCGTTCGCGGATAAATGCAGATGTTTGCAGATAAAAGCAGAAGTTTACGGATTAAAGCAGACGTTCACAGATAAAAGCAGATTTTTGCGGATATAAGCAGATGTTTGCAGGTGAAATCGGATGAAGCAGACTTTTGCGGACTAAAGTAGATGTTTGCGGATGAAATCAGATGTTTGTGGATTAAAATAGATGTTCGCGGATGAAAGTATACTTTAAATCTATAGATTTTTACGTATAAAAGCAGATGTTTGCAGGTGAAATCGGATAAAGCAGACGTTTGCAGATTAATGTAGATGTTTGCGGATAAAATCAAATAAAACCGGGTAAATGCAGATATAAACCCAAATACAGGTGTTTGCGGATGAAACCAGATGAAAGCAGACATAGAACTAAATAGATAAAACCCGACGTTCGCGGATAATATTTATACCCGCATTTGCAGATAAAAACCGACATGCCGGGTAAAATCAGATATGTCGGATGAAAACAGATATAAATGGACATAAAACCAGCTTGGTTTTTTATCTGCAATCATCCGATATTACCCGTCTTTTTCAGCAGGGTAGTGAAATAAGTTTTAATAAGAGGTAAGTGGAAAAGTTTATTTTTGAGTTTTTTCATGTAATATTTTACTTTCCCTTTGTAATCTTTTCTGCCCAGACCGTTGTAGATAAATAATTTAAAGTTACTACATATTAAAGCATGTATAAAGCATGGAACTTTTGTTATATCCTTACTTTATTCCGTTGCTATATTTTGAAATTATAAACATTTTTTTTGTCCCACATCATGTAGGGAGAGTTTGGACACACTATCTAGAGTCTTTCTCTATTGTCCAAACATAGTCCCGGCACTTCGTTAGCAGAATATTGCAAAAATTAAACCAAGTATATACAGTCAAATTCCTTAAAGGCAGTTTCTTTCATACAGATTTAAAGAAACAGATGAAGATGAAGCCTTGGTGGATTTTAAGGACGTGGTATTGGTTCTTCCCCCCACTGACGGAGTTCGATTCCATAACATGATTTACTTTAATTTTAATTTGTCGCAATTTAGTATTGAATAAGTTTTGCTCTGATTTTTTCAATAAAATTCCTAAATTTATAATATTTTTATAGTGTCCATGTAGGGTGACTTTGAACAGATGACCGAAAATTTTCAAAAATTCGTAGCAAACCCATCTTACGGTTTAAAGTGCACATATTTATCTCTTTGCGTTTTCAGAAGTCAACACTATTACCTGAAACTTTGAAATTAGAAATAATAGACCTATCCCATAAAACAGACTTTTGGATAGCGCGTGCCTGAAGAAGAGTGGTATCTCTTTCTCTTTTATATAATTAAAAAAAGACGACGTGCCTTTTCACGCACGCGCTATCCAAAAGTCCGTTTTATGGGATAGGTCTATTACATTTCTAAGAGACCCAGGCAAAAAAATCTAAAAATTGTCCAATGTCTACCCACTCTCCCCTATTGGTATTGGTATTTTTATTAAGGAAGGCAAGTATCGCTTTTACTGCTAATAAAACAATAGTCTATTTCCAATATTTTGACAAGCTGTCATATAAACGGGAATGATAGCAGCGACTTCAAACTTGGAGGGTATAATCAGAGCAAAAATACCTTTAAAATGAAATATCACTCTACCCTCCTTACCTATTCAAATTTTGGGGGTAACTATCACCCACGCTTAGGGGTTGAAGTTGAGGGGTTAAAAATATAAAAATAAATTGTCCCCCTTAAATCAGAAATCGACGGGTGCGAGCGGTTTTGTTTTTTTTTTCGAGAAAACCGGGGTGGAAACTTTCCATTGGCCCACCCTGTATATATCAATTAATATAATATATATGTATTATATTAATTGTTAACAGTTGCAATATGCAGTTTTGGTTGCCTATGATAAGTAGGCATCTATTATAATATAGTAGATACCTACTTATCATAGGCAACCACTATTGCATGATGTATCACTAATACATCTCGCTTATGTGGTACTATTCAATGAATAGTACCACATAAGCGAGATGTATTAGTGATACATCATGCAATAGTGGTTGCCTATGATAAGTAGGTATCTACTATATTATAATAGATGCCTACTTATCATAGGCAACCAAAACTGCATATTGCAACTGTTAACAATTAATATAATAGTATTCATTTAGAATATATGTTGACACTGGCTGCATTGGAATGTAAGACTTGCAACGGAGCCAGCCAAAGAGGCAGACAACAGTCATGCTGTCCACCTGCAAGGTTCCTGCGCGCCATATTAAAACAGAGCGTGCTAACCACCTGTAGTTCGGAAAATGGGCGTTCCCGGACACATGTTCCTTACATCAAAATGTTTGTCCATGGCTGCCACCCCTTAAAAGTTGACCCAACAGTTTCCGAACACCCTGTATAGATATCATGACAACAGGCGGATTTCCAAGGAAGTCTCAAAAAGCCCTCACAGTACCTTTATAATCTGGTCTGCGTATATCCCGATATAGTCCTAATCCGGACGTCCTACGGACATATTTGTGCTTATTGGGCTATGGCGTGTACACGATATGTAGTGCAATTAGAAATTGGTCTTGACTGTACCCCATTTACGCTGCAAACGAGGCCCTCTTTCTCCGTAAATTACCCAATGGGAACCTCGGTTGGGTTTTTCTTCTTTTATTTGCACTGCGGATCCGCTTCCTTTTAGTTTCTTATTAGAGATTTTAGCGTTGGTCAATATCCCTTGTACAAGGGCTCTACGAAAGTAAAGTATACTTACAGTGGCTGTTTTTCAAATAGTTCGCAGTACACAATATATGCATTAACAAACACGATGTCTAAAATTCCCCAGTAGAGGCGTTAATTTCTTAATTTTTAATAATTATTAAAAATTAAGAAATTAACGCCTCTACTGGGGAATTTTAAACAATATTTTTGCAAGCGCGCTTTATTTTCCATATAAAATATAGAATTAATCTTATGGTGCCCGACGTTACTTGTAATTAGGGTGCCCTAGGGCAGGGTACTTCCAATTAGGGTCCCCTAGTACCAAATTTTCATAAAGTGTGACGAAAGTCAAAATTCTTTAACAACCATCCAAATCCTATAATTTGGCCCTACTAACAAAAAACTACACTTTTGATGGGTTAATAAATCTTGTAAAAAGTTGACTTAATAATAATTAGTATAACTAAATTTTATATTATATTAAATATTATAACCATAGCAAGGGTAAAAAAGCACATATTTTTTTTTAGAATTTTATTTTATCACAGAAGTAAAAATGCATATTTGAGCAATATAGCTTATATAAATACTTTTAAACAAAGAGACATACCTGCAGAGATATATTATAATAACAATGACATAAAATTGAAAAAGAAAACATGGGGTTAACCCATCATCAATAAATTATAACATTTGTATTATTTAAGAAGTAATAATTGTTTAATGATTTAGGTCCCATAGGCATATTATTCTAACTTAAGGTTTGCAAGATAAGTTAACTAATAATTATCACAATAATAACTAGCCATTAATTATAATTATAATAAAGTATACTTTATGCGTGTACACAAACTTTGCCCATACAGCACAAGGATGTCCGACGCCAAAAGGCTGCCGAACAGACGTCCAATTTTGGTCCATGACATTGGGACGCCAACTGGATTTCCTGCCGCAGTCATTCGGCAACCTATCGGAGTCCTTAAGGAAACCACACATACAGCACAATTGTGCTGTATGTGTGGTTTCCTTGGTTTAAAATTGATTTTAATCCAACCCAAATTACTTTTAAAGTTAGATTTTTTATATCCCAGTAAGCACCAAATACAGTCGGCCAATACTCGGCATAGGCGGTTGACCGGGGGTTCGGCTTTCCACCAGCCGGTCCGCATTATGTTACCCAGGTACCGTTTGGCTATTTATAACCGCGGCATAAGCAGTTCGGCTTGCCCCAGCCGGTCCGCGTTATGTCACCCGATTACCGTTGAACCTCCAACTAACCAAAATCGACCGGAATACGGCCTGCCGCGGCATAAGCGATACATCTCACGGCTGCTTACGCACGCGAGCTAACTATAAATAGCGATGTGTTGCATTTGTGCGTCTGTAAAGACACAGCTGAACATTGATCCTTTAGAGTGGGGATCTCCTTAGTAACGAATAAGGCTAGGTAATCGACTCTTAAATACGTAGGTATCTTGCCATTCAGAGGATTTCAGGATTGAACCTATAGAGCCAGGGCTTTTTTTGGATGGCCAGGCCGTCGTGGCCGGAACTCGGGCACCTATGTATACATAGCCGACATCCAGGCGGACACGCCCGGTCTACATGCCGCGGCCAAACGTATTCGGTCCATATGCTGACCTGCTAACTTGTGCTTACCCTGTCGAAAATGCCCCATTGAAACCAATAAAACAAATAAAATGGTTTGTTTTGGACTCAATATGTGTGTACTGTTTTTTGTTGGAAAAAATTGATGCCAATTAAATCAATTCAAGTCAATTATGTTCCCCAATTGGTACCAATACACCAGATTTAAACCTATAAATTCCAACATAAATTCTATTGAAATATTGTGTCTATTGGTTTCTATGGGGCATTTTCGGCAGGGTACTGGGATTTTATTGTACTATGCTCGACACACAAAAGTCCCTCTTGGAAATTTAATGCAAATTATAGAGGTTAAAATCTAATTTCCAGTTTAAGGCTGATTTCGTCCTATTTTCTGAAAACTATAAATTATATGGATTTTTGGGTTATAAAATAAGACCTTTACACGCAAAATATACATTTAATGTTTTATTTTCAGAAAATAAAACAAAATAAGTAATAACCCAGACAGGTAAGTGTTATCATATACATTGGCTTATTTTTTAGAAAATTAAACGAAATTGGCGCTAAACTGACTGATAGATAACCTTAATTATTTGTATTTAATTGTTAACCCAAATAACAATCGTGATTTCACATTTTGCTTACGGCGTGATATTCATGAGTGAAAGCAAATTATAGCTGAGGTCTACACAACGGTCTACAAATGCAACGTGATATCACTGCGTGACTTTATAACCGTGATAACAAATTAAGCGCCCAAACCCAGATAGCACAAAGAAGTACAAAAACGTCCTGAGTATATATATCTTGTATCAGACATTAGTAAGTTCCGAGTACGTCCGAATCAGGTCCTGAACCTTCCAGGGACATCCGATGTTACCAAATCGTCGGTCCCCAGAACGTCCTAAGTAAGACATCCTCTGGCCATCCTGAAATGCTTTATTGGGGACTAATGGACAAGCTTTACAGAATTGAAGAGTGGTATTCCCAAAGGCCCAGACAGCAATATGACGTCTTAATTAAGTCTTATTTTATTAATTTGTTAAATGGATTTTATTAAAATCATTTTAATAATTTGCTCGTATTCGCTTATTTTAGGAATTACGATTATTTCGTCTCACTTTTGTTTAAATTTAAGCGTGCTCTTCACCGGCACCGATAGACGGCCTGTTTCCCTCTTTTGGAGCTCGTCAATATCGGGTAGCCGTTTACCTAGGTCTAAGACCGTTTGGTATGAAGCACGCTCTAAATCCTACTTCGCCGCTTCTTATATCAAACACAAGCAGTTACAGCGGTGAGAAGAAAGAATCGCATTAAAATGTCATAAATGTGACGTCTCCATGTTGACGTCTTAAATAGTTAATAATATGATTTCAGTAAGAAGTAAGAAAAGAGAATAATGTAAGATATCATATAACTGAAGTATTATTTATGATACCTACCCTTAGTAGCTTCTAATTTTGATTCCAATAAGAGGTCAGAAAAAAAGATACTTTAAGATGTTAAAAAATTTACTTCTTATTTATGAATTCATCAAGAACTCTTAATCTTGAGCTCCTAAAAATGATTTCTCTAAGATGTCATATTGTGACCTCAGTAAGATGTTTTTCAACAGACTTCGTACAGAAATCTTTCTGAATTGGATGCTGTCTGGGGGGTCTAAGTTACAAAAATAAAATTTTGAGTTATCAATGAAAAACAAATATTTTGCACATGTAAATGTTGAAACGTCTGAAACACGTTTGGAATTGCATATTCCGCTCTCCTGAAACCGTCAAACTCGCCTTCGGCTCGTGTGACAAACTCTTCACTCGAGCGGATATGCTGTATTCCAAACTTGTTACAGAATATACTATTAAGTCATTCTGCATGACACAAACTATTTTTAAATGATAATATATTATTTAACCAACTTGGCACTTAGACCCTTTGGAAATACAATGCTTCAATTACGTCCTTGGGACGTACCCAGTATATCCGCTATAACTTTCCCAAATAAGTAAGAGACTGGACGTACCCAAAAACTTCCGATATAGGTCTAGGACGTTCGGACCTATGTGGGACCCGAAATGGACGTCCTGGGTACCTCTTGTGCTATCTAACTTAAGTTACTTCATTCTGGTAAAAAATTTTACACGATAATCCAAATATTTATAGTCATAGTGGAATAACACGTGCGAATTAAATTATATACAAAAAATATACAATATATAGTTTTTATATATAGGTACTTGAAGAATTTTTAAGAAGTATTTTTAACATGTCAGGTTTTTTAAAATGCAGACTGTCGCAAATATGTTAATCGGCCCCCTCTTAGCCGTGACATCTGGAAAACAGAGAAATAAATTTAAAAAACAAAAGAAGGAAGCCAGATGCAGTGTAAAAAACCTCCATGAAAATTTGGAAGCTATGGTTAAGGATTGCCTCGAGGGGTAAACCACTTTAAAATCTTAGAGACCAACGTTCAATGTTAGTGGAGGTTGTGTTGTGATTTTTTTCCTTATCAGTCGTTATCAATAAGGAAAACTTGCTTAGTCAGTGCTTAGCGACGCGTTGCACATGACTACCCTTGTTATTGTTATCCTAAGCCGTTAATTCGTAAGCAATTTTTAATTTAAAAAAATCGGTGGTTTACCCCTCGGATTGCCTATTACGATAAGGTTTTGTAAACAAATACTTTTTAAAAGTTTTTTAAATACTTAATACCTACTTTAAGAATATTAAAAATATTAAAATAATAAAGTATTTTTAAGATACAAAAACTGTCCACTGATTTACATATAAAAAATTAAGGATGATTATTTAAGTTATTTATAAATATATTTTTTGTTATTTATGAAAATATTTTATGTTAGGTACTTTATATGTATATGTCTTTAATAAGATTTACTTGTATTTAATGAAATGTGGTCATTATCTTAAAATAAAAAATCTTTTTTTGTTATCATGCATCCAAACAATTAAACCTTTAAAGTTAAGGTATCTGCATGAGTCCGAAAATCTCAGAAATTATCAGAAACATAAGCAAATAGGATTTTAAGCCTCCCAAAATTTGCGCATGTCTTTAATAGTTTCCAGAAGTTTCGGACTCTAATAAGATTATACCTTAATGATCGTATCCTGACCTCAGTAAACATACGCGTATTGATCGGCAATGACTACCGCATCCTGCTATGACGTGTGACATCACGCGTGAACGAAAAATCGCACGCGTGATCTCATTATGGTGGGACTAATAGTCCCGGACTATTGGGTGTGGAGCATAGTACATTGTACATATATTTTTAGAACATCACGTATATTAGTTTAATAACTATAATTGTTTGTTAACCTTTTGATATTTTTTTAAGAGCAATTCCATTGAATGTACACTTTCTTTAATGGCATTTTTCTCCATTCTATTCCATATACTGCCCATTAAGAAACAGTACAAAATAACAACAACCAAAATAATTTTCAATATTGCATACAGTACATGATAACCATATGGTACAAAGGCAATATTACACAGCACCAAAATAATGAACACAATAAATGCAATGGTGAAGTAAAATATTTTGTGTTTGTGAAGATGTTTCATGTGGTCTTTACAAAGAGTATGGCTTTCCATTAAAATTTCTTGATGGTTTACAGAGTCTTCTTTAACAGGTTCTTCCATAGATTCAGGGTTCTTTTTCGTGATGCCAAAATCAACATGGACAGCCTCATGGTCAGAGTAGCTGAAATGTTCGTTTTCAACTGGTTTTGACAGAGGTAATTCATATTTTTTAACCACAACGTCATGGGTTTTCGAGGAATGATACATAATGTAGTCAATGCGAATTCCTGGCGTTTTATCTTTAACCCTTGACTGAGGTGTGTAGGTATTTTGTAGAGCTAAATTGGTGGCAAACATGCTTTCAGGTACTTGGCACTTGTAATAGGAGTCTGTTAAACCAGCTACAGAAGTAAAAATACTGCAAAAATGTAAGTAAATTAATTAATAATTTGTTTAGGTATAATTTTTTAATGTTTTTACCGATAGGCTAAGTCAGTTGGTTCTGTATTTAAATCTCCAGCCAAAATAACTAAATCCGCATAGGCAGAAGTCTGTTTAATAAATTGAGCAGTATTATAAGCTTGTAAAACTCTATGAACTAAATACTCATCATTTCCTCTATCATATTCTGCATGTAACTAAAAAACAAAATTATTACTACTGCAACTAAAAAAAACTAAAAGTAACACATAGGTTTTGTACCAATTAAGAAGCAACTGTCCAAAACACATTATTTATTTAAAATTATTTTAGCTCTTTTAAGCAAAATAATAGTATATTCTGTAACAAGTTTGGGATACGGCATATTCCGCTCGAGTTTGTCACACGAGCCGAAGGCGAGTTTTTGGTTTCACGAGAGCGAAATATCCAATTCCAAATGTGTTTCAGACATTAAAAAGTAATATTAGAACGGTCATATTCCGTAATAGGAGTAGAAAAAGATAATTATAGTTAGATATTGGTCAGCTGGTCCTAAATTAGTCAAATAAAAAAGTAAAACAAAATTATTACTACTGCAACTAAAAAAAACTAAAAGTAACACATAGGTTTTGTACCAATTAAGAAGCAACTGTCCAAAACACATTATTTATTTAAAATTATTTTAGCTCTTTTAAGCAAAATAATAGTATATTCTGTAACAAGTTTGGGATACGGCATATTCCGCTCGAGTTTGTCACACGAGCCGAAGGCGAGTTTTTGGTTTCACGAGAGCGAAATATCCAATTCCAAATGTGTTTCAGACATTAAAAAGTAATATTAGAACGGTCATATTCCGTAATAGGAGTAGAAAAAGATAATTATAGTTAGATATTGGTCAGCTGGTCCTAAATTAGTCAAATAAAAAAGTAAAATAAAAGTATAAATTGGTGATGGATAAATAAAAAAGCTTACATGGACTATGTAGGCATTAACTTTGATGTTATTAACATTTAAATGACACAATCCCACACCTTTACCACCAAACCAATCACCATGCTGTATTTTGTGAATATATCCATTTAGTGACCATTGGTGGAAAAATACTTCTTCAATAGGATAGCGGCTTAGAAAGCACACTCCAGAACCCACAACACCACTACAATAATAATTTGGTTAAATATATTTTGCTTTTAATGATTTAAGTATAATTATACGTATACGTATATAGTAAGGGTCTTGAAATTGCAAGACGTATTTTCCTTTACCATTTTTTTGAGAGCACAGTAACTTATTACAAATAAAACTCAAATCAGCCATTAAAATATTACGAATATTACCTGTCACAACCCTAGACCTATACCTAGGGTCACAACTTGCTTTAAATAAAGGTATACCTAATCTTTTTATTTATAGCAAGCCCACTGTAGTATTTTCAGTATTTATTATTTAGTTATTTTAAAAGCAATATCTGGATCCAAGAGATGACCAGAGACATATTCAAGGCAAATTCATTTAATGTCTTTTCTTCTCAAAATGCATTTATCATTAATTTGAATAACATTAGAATATATTTAGAATGATTCACTTCATTATTTAATTATTTGTATGTCAAAAGTAAGTAATATTTAATGACTATTTCTTAAAAAAAATATATATAAAAATAAATATAAGGTATTAAATTGTTATTTAAGTACTATTTATTGAATAATTAATTAAAAAAACGGTATAATAGATTGGGGTTCATGATTTACCTTGCGCTAAAGGTACGTATGGCTGAGCGCTCCACACTCTGCGCCCTCTATCTCAAAAACGATTAGACCTTTAAAAAAATGTTTTAAACAAAATTTGTAGAGAATTTTATACTCTACAACTTGTATAATAAATGCAAATACGATAGGAGGCAGAAAAAAGGAGATATTCTCAAAAAATTGATTTTTGCGACCTTTGACCTTGAATATCGAAGGCCGCTCACACGTTGGCATATGTGACTTTTGAGACAACATTTGCAATGCTAAAATAAAGGTTTGTACAAAAATTCAGCTTATTCCGTTAGATTCCGAGGTGAAATGCCTAGATATTTCATAAATAAAATAAATTTCCTTTACCGCATCACTAAAGTCCAACCCATCCAAACAAGACTGGTATACCTTGCACAAAAATTTGCAAATAAAAATCATAACTTCACTGTGATAGAACCGTTGATATACCAAACAAATCCTGAGAACACCCAAAAGGGAAAATACCCTGATAGGCCACTGTATGACACACTGAAGCTATGGGAGGAAGAATAGCAGCTTACACTGATTTATTTTTGTAATACTTTTTTTTTGTAAACAAATATCAGTATATTTTAAATATTATAAATGTGTTGTAAATGAATATTTATTGTAAATAGGCAGAAAGACTAAGGTTGTTAGTCTTTTGGAATAATCCAATAAAGTTTTTATTTATTTAAAATAAATTTTACTTGTTTGATCTGCAATTTTAGTTTTCTTTGGCAGTGGATGGGGCTCATAACCTTTCTCTCACTACTGTCACTGTATAGTGGTATTAATATCTCATGGCGGGTGACCTTGGGTGCGCAAACGTCACAAATCCGTCAAATCGCGCTATTACTCGCCGTCCTAAAAACATACTACCCCAGGGTTGGCAATGCTAGCATCAGCTGATATTTATTGACATATTTAAACATATTTATAGGCTAGAAATTCTATTATAATATATATATTTTGGAGATTGATAATTATTGTCTCACAGACAATTATATTTAAAAATGTTTTATCCTTCATGTTAAAACTTGCATTTGGGCAGTAAGAGCCTAATAGAGTACCTAATTGCATCAAAAATGAAAATCCCTAAAAACCTTTTTAATGTAATCTAGAGGTAAAAACACATTGCAAAAATATTTTTTTATATTCCAAAAGTTCAACCCGGCCCCAAAATATCAAATTGAAAAAAAGGTACTTTTCAAACGTTCCGAACTCCCGCCATATTGCATGACGTCATAAGCTTCACCAGCTGTCAGAAATCAAGATGTCAACAAATAATAAACACCGATAAAGTTTATGTTTAACGTGGAAAACGCGAAACCAAAAATTGGTTGTAAATATTGTTTTGTGCCTTGTTGTACAAATACAACCTGGAAAACTCCTGGGAAAGTTGTCCCTTCAATTATCAAAAGCAAAGTTTATGACCCTACACTGAGAGTAGTTACGGCTCAGCCGTATTTTCTTGAATTTATTAATATTTAACATACCTATTCAAACCATATACCTAGTAAACGACATTTTATTTTACTTACATTAAAATGATCCTTAAAATGAGCAATAAAATGGTGACGATGTTTTGATATCGCGCCGAGCTATTTTAATCCACTTTATCCTTATTTTCCCTTTTGGCACGGTGATAAACCTTTTCCCAGGAGTTTTCCAGGTTGTATTTGTACAAGGCACAAAACAATATTTACAACCAATTTTTGGTTTCGCGTTTTCCATGTTAAACATAAACTTTATCGGTGTTTATTATTTGTTGACATCTTGATTTCTGACAGCTGGTGAAGCTTATGACGTCATGCAATATGGCGGGAGTTCGGAACGTTTGAAAAGTACCTTTTTTCAATTTGATATTTTGGGGCCGGGTTGAACTTTTGGAATATAAAAAAATATTTTCGCAATGTGTTTTTACCTCTAGATTACAATAAAAAGGTTTTTAGGGATTTTCATTTTTGATGCAATTGGCTCAAGTCCAATTCTCTTGAAAGAAAGAATTAAAAAAATTATAGAAGAAAAATGTTGCATATTTTTAAAATATGTAAGCCTTTTGTCTGAAATAAAGCACATTTAGAAGTTTTAGAACTTATTCATAATATGATATATACCTACTTGTATTAGCAGTAAATCAACATATTTTGCCATACACAAGAAAAATATAAAATAAAAATCTTTAGGTACATTTTTACAGCAAAATTCGGATTATACACAGATTCTATTCTTTTTTTTACTGAAATCCATTATATATTTTACAGATCATTGCTCAACAATTGAAGACCTTGCTGCAAAAAGGGGGTAACTTTTACAAAAGTGACTTTTACACCCTTACAACTGTGAACTAGACTATTCTGCATTGTTTAATGCAAAGATGACTCAAAAATAACTTTTATGGAGTTACCTCCTTTTTGCAGCAGGGTCTTCATTTGCAGTCATTATCTAATGTTACAATATATTTCATAAAATAAAGAAAAGACGCTTTACTATATTAGTTGACAGATGACAGATTTGGAAAGCATTCATAGACATTTATTTATTAAATTGAATGGCGTCTGTCAGCGTCTCTCAAGGTCACCCGCCATGAGATATTAATACCACTGTTGATTATAAAGTCAGTGCCTGTTTTGTGTAGCATGCATGGTAAACCACGGATTTTTTTAAATTAAAAATTGTATACCTACAAATTAACAGATAAGGAAACAATCACATAGGTAGTCATGAGCAAAGCGCCAAGAGAAATTTCTAAAGTCCGTATTACAGTCTACAATTCTACGTGCAATACTCTTGCACGAAGGCAAAGCGACGTGTCGTGCAAGTATTGCCGTTTCAGAATATCGGTCCTGCCCGATTTTTATTCAGAGGACATTGAACTGACCCAAAACTAAGTACAATTCGGAATCCTCCTCAACCAAGGCTTTATTAATGACCCCATTCAATTGGGATTAATGAATGAGGGTAGGTGAGTTAGTACACTGCTAGAGCCTATCCTTATTGGTGTATTTCCTGTTCGTATGTATCTGTTCGTGTTGTATTTCGATTTCGACGTTAAATACGTCCGATACTGCTGTTTTGATTCCCGTCCCCCCCATAACCCCTTTTGTGTGTGATCATTTAAGTACGCCTCTGTTTAACATCCCATGTCTGTAATGTGTGCTTAACAGTGGAGTTGGTATTGGAATGAATATTGGACGTATGGTCTAAATGTCTCTAAGTTTGTCCTTGTCTGTGTCCCCAGGCAAATTACGTCGTGTTTTTCTAACAATTTTGTTGTTTATATATAATGTTATTATAAAGTTCCCCCTTTTTTTTGCTATAAATTATTGTTGTGAATTTCTCATTATTCTTTATTAAAATTTAGTTTAGCCAATGCGTTTTATTTATTCCGTCTCATTGGTTGGTGCTGTAATTGTACCTGCTGAGTGGTCTGTTTAACTTTTTATGTTTGGTTTGGTTTTATTGAGATTTATGAGGTCAGGTTGGCGTTTCTTTATGGTTTAGTCGAGTTTGTTTGGGAAATAATCTTAATGTCTATGTTATTCTTCTTCTTCTTCTTCCTTGTTACCATGGACTTGCGTCGTGAGACGGCCGCCCAAAAAAAAGTGCTCAATAAAAGGTGTGCCTTTTGACACGTCTGGATTATTCCATGCCTTTTATAGTGGTGCTCATTTTAACGTCCAATGATTTCAGCATCCATCCATCATTGGACTACAATTGTCGGACAAAACACGTGCACACATATAGGTTATCTAACCTTGAAATTTATTTGCTCATATAAATTCCTCTATTCCTTTAAAAAGGACAACACGAGGAATATTATATAGGACTGGAAACCGATTTTGTCCTCCCTGAGTCAAAGTCAACTATATTTCACACTTTCACACCGAGGACAAATCGAACTCGAAATAATAATAATGTCTATGTTATGGATTGATTTATCGCCGTGTCTATAGAGTCCCGTCAGACGATTCTCTATTGCGCTCCCGTTAACAGAGTGACGTCATCCAATGACGCAATCTTAAGACGGGAAGCAGATCTTTTTTCCTTAACCAACGTCCCGAGTCCGCCGGCTTCGAAACCAACCCAAACACAACAACCCAACAAGTAAAAATTTTTCAACGAAGGAATATTCATTTAATTACATTTTATTTTATATAACTGTAGCAAAGTGATTATGAGGAAAGGTAAATAAATTAAAATATTAATGTAAAATTAAATATAAATGCTTTTAAGGCCACATTGTATTATTTCGGTATATAAATTCTTAAAAAAAAAATTAAAAAAAGTTGTAGAGGCGCCAAGTATCGAACCCCGTATCTCTCGCATGCAAAGCAAATCAAATCAAATAAATTTATTTACGTCTTAGTGTACAAAATAATAGATGTTATATCAT